GAAGAATTGACTTCAATGAAGGCTCATCTGTGGCTATAAAGATAACCAATTACAATTATATTTAAAATGATATTGTCTTCTGAAGCTGAAAATGAGTGATGGGGCACAGGGGGGAGTTTAAGCAGGAAGAGAGATGCATGAATAATATAAATACAGTATTCATTGATGAAATTTTCAAAATAATAAATAAATTATATAAAACAGAATAGAGGCTTTAGGATAAAAAAGCATAACACTTGAAACTATAGTATTTAGATTCTTTAGGAATACAGATTTTAGTATGTTTATCCTATTTGGAAATCAATCTGGCGGTTTCTCAGACAATTAGGAACAGGACTCCCTCAAGATCCAACTATACCACTCCTAGGCATATATCTGAAAGATGTTCAATCATAGAACAAAGATATTTGCTCAACTATGTTCATGGCAGCTTTATTCATAATAGCCAGAATATGGAAACAACATAGATGTCCCTCAACTGAAGAATGGATACAGGAGCTATGGTATATTTACATAATGGAATGCTATTCAGCAATTAAAAACAAGGAAATCATGAACTTTGCAGACAAATGGATGGAACTAGAAAAGATCATCCTGGGTGAGGTAAGCTATAAGCAGAAAGATACACACGGTATATACTCACTTATAAGTGGACGTTAACCATAAAATATAGGATAAATATACTAAAGTCTATAATCCTATAATAACAAGAAGGACCCCAGGGAAGATGCTTAATCTTCATTTAGAATGGCAAACAGGATAGATTTCAGAATTAAGAAAAGACATGGAAAAGGACAAGAGCCTTTCACAGAGGGCCTCTGGAAGACTATTCACCATGGCATGGAAGGAACCACTGAGACTCATAGCCAAATCATATGGAAGAAGAGGGAGATAGAAAGACCTGGAGGGGACAGGAGCTTCAAGAGCAGACCAACAGAGCCAAAAATCTGAGCGCAGGTCCATGCAGAGACTGATGAATCAAACACAGACCATGCATGGAGAGGACCTCGACCACCTGCATAGATGTAGCCCAAGGACAGGAGTGGTATTACTGGATCTTGAGGTAGAACTATTCTGGATTTTCTGAGAAAGTATCAAGCATGGAATGGACCTAAGCCACCTACACATATGTACCCAATGGGCCATTTGGTCTTCATGTTGGTCCCCTAGTAAGGAAAGGAGAGGCTGTTTCTGACATGACTTTCCCTGGTTAGGATGCCTTGCCAGACAACGAAGGAAGAGGATGTGCACATCCTCTAGGGTTTTCCTTATTGTTTAGCTCCCTTAGGAGTATATATTTTAGTATGTTTTCGTATATTAGATGTCTAAAAACCACTTATAAGTATGTTTATATCATGATTTTTTTTCTTTTTTGCTTCTGCATTACTTCACTCAAGACAATCTTTTCTACTTCTCACCATTTGCTTGCAAATTTCATGATTTCTTTGTTTTTAATTTCTGAGTAGTGTTCCATTGTGTAAAAGTACCACAATTTCTAAAAGTATTCCTCAGTTGAGGGACATCTAGTTTGTTTCCAGATTCTGGCTGTTACAAATAGAACTGTTACAAACATGGATGAGCAAATGTCCTTGTTGTATAGTTGAGCATATTTTGGCCTTTGATCAACTTAGATTTTAGTTTTGTACAGGGTGATAAATATGGCATTTTTCTACATGTTGACATCCAGTTAGACCAGCACCACCAATAGCAGATTTGTTGTGAAAAACATATAAGTATGCTTATTGTCATACCTCGTGGGGATTCATCAATCCAGCTGAATTAAACCTAGGACAATACCTTCTTAAAATGTATTAATCAGTCTTACCAAAATTAAGCCATAATTGTAAACGTATGAAGAACTAATGAATAGATTTGAATGCAGACAGTATTCTGTCATTTTATTTGTGCCACAATAAGAGGTACTGAATCACGGTTATTTAGCATTCAACTTAGTAAGTTTAGGGTCACTACTCTTCTGACCAGCATGTGTAGTATTATTAATGATTTGCTTGTTAAAAAAATGAACTTATAAATTGTGCTGTCAGAAGAAATTAGATAACATGAATAATGATCAGTATTCAACAAATCTCCTACCTCTAATATTTGAGCAACTTCTCGTCACTGTATACATATCACATTTGATTTTTATGAAAAGTTCATAAGACAATAGCACCATGGTGAAGCAGATGGCCTAGATCCAGACATCCCTGAAGCTCTCATTTTAGTATGTAATTTTATAGTGTATTTTATAGTGTATTATAGTATACTAAATTCACATCACTTGACTATTGAAATTATGATTTCCAAAAAAAAACAAAACAAAAAAACAGCATTTTCTATTTGTATACTTATGCAGAAAATGTATGATACGGAATGTACTCCTAAGAAATCATTTAGCAAATAAAATACTTTAGCTGATATGTGCTGCTGATTTCAAACTCAACATTCTGTCTACATATTCTGCTTCTTGTTCGGGCAAATACCAACCTGTGGCTATACTATAGTTTGAGTGTGAAGTATATTATCATGAAACTATCTTAGGTTCCTGATTATTACTTACACTTTTCTGGTAGATACACTCATTTATCTATATACACTGCTTACTGAAATTCATAGCTTATTATCTCACCATGATTTGTCATGGTCAAAATTTAGGAACAATGTGGTATTTGGACAAAAGCTCATATTGGTTAACAGCCTTTGACTGGTAGTTTAAAGAAAATATTTAAGGAATTACCTCCCTCGACCTTCCCCAAATATTGGTGTTACAGATAGCACATGGCTCATGTAATTAATTTCTCTTCAATCATATTCTATATATCATAATATGTTTTTGATACAAATTTAGAATTGAATATGTACATTATAAAAAGAAAAAACTAAGAATGCAGATACAATTTAAATATCATTTAATTTCCAATTGGGAAAACATAAAATAGTATACTAGGTGTGAATATACTGTTTATTAATACTTGCTTCAGGATACTGCCTTGAGTGGGTGTGTGACCTATTATTTCTGTTTAGTCCAATATTTTGGAAACCATCTTCCAATGTGCTTTAAAATATTTCTAACTTACATCTTACCTACCAAACTTGAATTGTTTTAATTTAAATTTATATTTTATAAATTGTTCACTTTATATCCCAATTGTTTTCCCCTCTTTCTTTTCGTCTTGGCGCCATCCTCCCTCTCTCATCTGCCTTAGTCTCCTCCTTTATTTCTCAGAAAGCAGAAGCCTTCTTCCCCTAGCATCTGACCCCAGCCTATTAAATCTCATCAGGACTGCCTGCATCTTTTTTTTTTTTTTCTGCAGCCTGGCAATGCCCCCTCCCATTAGGGGTAAGCAATCAAAGAGCAGGCAACATAATACATGTCAAAGAAAGCCACTGCTCCCCTTACTATGGAATCCACATGAACACTGAGCTGCTGATATATCAGCTTCATCCTAAGGTCTAGGTCTTCTTCATGCATGGTCCTTTGTTGATTCATCAGTCTGCAGGCTCCAATTGGCCCAGATATTTTAATTCTGTTGCTCCCCCTGTGGAGCTGTTGTCACCTCCAGTTCTTTCTATCTCCCTCTTCTTCCATAAGATTCCCTGTACTCTTCCCAAAGTTTGACTATGAGTCTCAGCATCTGCTTTGATAACAAGCTGAGTAGACTCTTTCAGAGGCCCTCTGTGGAAAGCTCTTGTCTGTTACCTGTCTTCTCCCACATGAAATGTCTATTCTGTTTGCCCTTTTGAGTGATAATTAAGCCTCTTCCTTGGGGTCCTCATTAAAACTCTGCTCTGAGAGAAGGTTACTATCCAGAATATACAAAATCTGAAGAAGGTAAACACCAAACAAACCAAGTAATCCAATTAAAAAATTGGAGTACAGAGCTAAACAGAGTATTCTCAACAGAGGAATATCGAAAGGCAGAGAAACACTTAAAGATGTAGGCCATGGCAACTCAGTGTGCAAGTAGGTTCCCTAATAATGGAAGCAGGGACTGTCTCTGATGTGAACTCAGTGGCTGGATCTTTGACCACCTCCCCTCCATAGGGGAGCAGCCTTACCAGGCCACAGTGTAAGACAATGCAGCCAGGCCTGATGAGTCCTGATAGCCTATCAGTGGACTGGGGCAGAGGCATGGAAAAAGAGGGAGGATGGGAGTTAGAGGGAATGAGAGAGGGGTCTACAGGAGGGATACAAAGTGAATAAACTATAATTAGTAAAAAGAAATAAATTAAAAAAGAAATGTTCAGGAAATGCAAATTAAAACGACCCTGAGATTGCACCTTACACCTGCTGAATGTCTAAGATAAAAAACTTAAGGGACAACACATGCTGGAGAGGTTGTGGAGAAAAGGGAACTCTCCTCCATTGCTGCTGGGAATGTTACTTGTAAAACCATTTTAAGAATCCATGTGGTGCTTTCTCAGAAAAATGTGAATAGTTATAACTCAAGGTCCAGTTATAATGCTCCTGGGTATATATACCCGAAAGATGCTTGACTATACAAGAATAATTGCCCAGCTATGTTCCTAGCAGTTTTATTTATAATAGCCAGAATATGGAAGCAACGCAGATGTCCCTCAACTGAGGAATGGATAAAGAAATTGTGGTGCATTTACACAATGGAATACTACTCAGACATTAAAAACAAGGAAATCATGAAATTTGCAGGCAAATGGTAGGAAGTACAAAAGATCATTCTGACTGAGCTATCCCAGAAGCAGAAAAAAACACATGGTATATACTCATTTATAAGTGAATATTAGACATATAATAATAGATAATAATATATTACTTATATAATTAGAATATTGTAATATAATTATAATATAATAATATATTAGACAATATAATATAGACATATAAACATACTAAAATCTAGTGTCCCAAAGAAGCTAAACAACAATCTTGATTTTTTAAAAACAGTTCTAGGACTCTGTAAAAGTTTCTTCCCTGTGCAGTCACCACCTATTAAAGTTCAATGAAGGAGCTGTGTTTTTACCTTAAGAGACTCCTCTTGCTTAAACAGATCTTCAAAATCTTTAGCACAGAGTTCAGGAGCATTTAGTAGTTTTTCCACATTTGAAAGGGCTTCTGAGATGTGACTGATCTCTGTCATATAAGTAGAAGGCACGTGAGGAACATCCAAGGGTATATCTTCAGTCATCACTACTACGGTTTCTTCACAGCGAGTGTGCTGGTACACATATACAAAAGAACATTTCTTTTTTAGTTTTCGAATAATGAAAAAGGCATTTTCTGAGTTTATATTGAGTCCACTATACAGTTTACAATGAGATGTAAAGGGCTTAAAAATAAACACATGATATGATGTCTAATAAAATGGCTATATATTCTATTCATATTAGTTTTCATCTTCCAAAATACTTTGATGATCTCCACACATTTTCACACTTCAAATAGAAGATGAAAAAACAAAGTCATAAAGTTGACTCCAAATAAAGTATAATAATAGAAATTAACTTTTAAATTTAAAGTTAACTTTTGTATTTTCATAAAAAGATAACCTATTTTATTTTTTTTTTTCTAGTCTGGACTGAGGTATAGGACTCACAAAATTGTTTAATCAAGAATGTGTACATTTTTACCTAAGAGGTGGGCATCAGCTCCAGCCTTCAATGTTAGCTTGTTACTAAGTTAATCAGCTAAATAATAAACTGCCAAATAAGTATGGTTGATTTTATAATTCTCACTATTCCAGAAAATTCCAAGATCTTAGAATGATTGTCTTGCCTCTGAATTTTCTGAATTGGTACCCAAATGCTTGGGATGCTAAAAGTTTCAGACCTTTTTGGAGTTTGCCAGAAGGACTTATTTCCCTATTCTTCACCAGAGCAATAACTAAATTCAACTTGGCATGCAAATTGGTCTACAATACAGGCAACAACAGTCTTGTACTTGAAATTATTCTCCCACTAACTTTGCTCTCAATTGATCAACTGCTGCCTGCCTATTGATGTAGTCACCTGAGGGCATCAAAAATAGCAGCAGATTCTCTGGGGAAGTTCAGGCAATAGCATGCTAACATAGTCTTTTATTATTGCTGTCTCTTTGACAGAGTCACAAACACCTTTTTCAATAACATCATTAAATGGACATTGGGATCACATAGTGAACTCAACTCAAAGATGTATAAAAACTATAGGATGATTAGTTTAGCCTCCTTTTTATTTCTCGGGCTTCAAATTTTTATACTTAATTTTTACATGACAGCCAAGTAAAATTATTCTAATTTATCCGTCTCATCTATTTTTATTGCAACAAACTTAGAATTGCATAGGTCCACTTTAAAATTACATTTAACTTGTGAAATTGGTTATACTTGAATGAAGTTCTTGAAATATTTCTTAATCATCAATGAAATAATAACATATATTCATTTCCAACATGCAATTACATTGATCAGAGAAACTTAAGCTTCAGTTTGATAAAATATTAAGTATTAACCATGGATTTTAAAAATCTAAATTCTATTTCTGAAACTTAAAACTAAAATTTCAGCAATTTAAATATTTATACACATACATATATAAATAAATCAGCAGGATATTTTAATGTAAAATTTGTACTGACATTTTGCATCAACACTATGTAGGAACGTGAACAGAAAAAGTCAAACAAATTTACTGTATTGTGTATGCATGCTGTTTAGACAGGTGACCACGTTGTTTGTAATAATAATTTTAATAACATTTTGAAGTCAATGAGTTTGTCTTTATTATTTGCTTTAACCTCCAAGACACAATTTTTCATCATATAAATAAAGGAGGAATTACTTAAATTATTTTATGTAATTATAGAATTATCTTTTTTTTAATACTTGTTTTAAATATATCACATTTGTAAATATTAGTGATAATGTTAATGCAGGACAATCAGTAATTTTTGTGTTTTAATAATTATTCACATTATTTTTCAACAATGGTTATCTTGGAATTAACACTTAAAATATGTAAAGAACACCACGATATCCTTTAAAAAATTAAAATTTTGTCAATTAAATTATTTCAATATATGTATCAGCAGAGTTTTTTCTCAAATGTATATCCTAGATATAATTTTATTTTTGTTTCTTGATTGACACTTAGTTCCCTCATCTTATTTACTGACATTTGGGATGTTAGCTGCTACTTAAATTCCTATAGAGTAACTGTAATTTAAATGTAGCAAGTATCTAAACAGAAAAGTCAAATAAAATGAAGAGGCACTAAAAGTAAACATGCATTTGAAATGTGACAGATTTAACAAAAGTTTAATTTTAAAACTGACTATTTAAATTTTGGTGCTATTTACATTTTTATTTTCATGGAGACACTTTAAATTAAATTGGATTGAGATAAATAATAATTAGTTCTAAACACATAGGTCTGAAGCTCAGAATTAGGTGAGCTGATAACTATGATCTAGAATAAAGTATAGTCTTGAAACAAGGCTATAAGAACCTAAGCAGCACAGAGTTCCAGTGGCTTTATTTTTAAATTTCCATTGATTTTATTTTATTTTTATGTGTGCATATACAATGGTGTGTGCATATTTGTGACATGGTGCATATATGGAAATCAGAAGACCAGTTGCTGAAGTTGCTGCATTACTTCCATTGTGTGGGTCTTAGAAACCTAACTCAGATCCTCAGGCTTAGTGACAAGTACTTTCTTTACCTTCTAGGCTATTTCTCTGGCTCTGGCTTTTCTATTCTTAAGCTTTCCTCTACTTATTTGCATGTGTCAGCTATATTTTCATTTCATACAGATCGTTGAACTTTTTCATTTCACAGTAAATATTTGTTAACACATCAACAATTTTTACCACACTTAAATGGAAGACTTATTGTAAAGTTCTGTGGCACTCAAATTCTATTTTTTTCAAATAATGTTGTGCCTAGTGTTAGAATGTATTTATAAATCTTATTTTATCACATACAAAGTTCTTGTTCAAAGAAATATTAGCCATTGAATTATAGGAATGGAAAGATCTATTAGTATCTCTATTGTGATTATTAAAAAGACTAACAGATGTAAGTCTTGGAACAATTTTACCTATTCATTAAAACAAATTGACTAAGCAACTACCCATTCACTCCATGCACGGACACTGAATTAAAAGATTTCCCTGGACATTTTAAAGCATTAAAGTTTTACAATTGATAGGAGAATTCAAGGAAAATAAGATATAGAACTACTAAAATATCTGAACATGAAAGTTTGCAATCCACAGCTATCCTAAACAAAACACTATATTTTAATTAATTTATTTGTTTATATTAATTACAGTTTATTCACTTTATATTCCTTCTGTAGCCCCCTCTGTCATTACCTCCCAATCCCACCTTTCCTCCCTCATCTCCTCTCATACCCATTTCTAAGTTCACTGATAAGGCAGGTCCACCTCCCCTTCCATCTGAACCTAGCTTATCAGGACTGGATGCATTGTCCTCCTCTGTGGCCTGGCAAGGCTGTTCCCCCCTCGGAGGTGGTGGTCAAAGAGCCAGCCACTGAGTTCATGTCAGAGACAGCCCTTGTTCCCCTTACTAGAGACCCTACTTGGATACTGAGCTGCCATGGGCTACATCTTAGCAGGGGTTCTAGGTTATATCCGTGAATGGTCCTTGGTTGGATTATCAGTCTCAGAAAAGACCCCTGTGCCCAGATATTTTGGTTCTGTTGCTCTCCTTGTGGAGCTCCTGTCCTCTCCAGGTCTTACTATCTTCCCCAAAGTTTAGCTTTGAGTCTCAGCATATGCTTTGAAACATTACTGAGTAGAGTCTTTTAGAGGCCCTCTGTGGTAGGTTCCTGTCCTGTTTCCTGTCTTTTCCTTCCAATATCTATCCCTTTTGTTCTTCTGAGTGAGGGTTGATCATCTTATCCAGGGTCCTCCTTTTTGCTTAGCTTCTTTAGATGCACAGATTTTAGTATGTTTATCCTTTCTTTTAGGTCTAATATCCACTTATAAGTAAGTAGGTACCATGTGTGTCTTTTTGCTTCTGGGATATCTCACTCTAGAGATGATGTGAAGAAAAGGGAACCCTCCTCCATTGCTGGTGGGAATGCCAACTTGTATAACCATTTTGGAAATTAATCTGGCGCTTTCTCAGACAATTAGGAATACTGCTTCCTCAAGTTCCAGCTATACCACTCCTAGGCATAATATCCAAGACAGTCACAAGTACACAGCAAGGACACTTGTTCAAACATGTTTGTAGCAGCTTTATTCATAATAGCCAGAACCCGAAAACAACTCAGATGTCCCTCAACAGAGGAGTGGATACAGAAATTATATTACATTTACACAATGGAATACTTCTCAGCAATTAGAAACAAAGAAATCATGAAATTTGCGGGCAAATTGTGGGATCTAGGAAAGATCATCCTGAGTGAGGTATCCCAAAATATTATTTTTTCAATATCAGCCACTGAGCTGGGGCAAGTCAATGGCTGATATTAAACAAAATAGTGTTTATTTTATTATTCATTTTGTCTATGACAAAATATGATATCCTAACTGTATTTCTGAAGGTATTTCTAATTATAGTGGACATTGATGAGGTTATATTTCAAAAGTAACTTTGGATTTTTAATGAAGTATTTCATAAGATGTTATGGAAACTAATATATTGGGTATCTTTGTGATCCTTCAATTGACCTTAACACGGTGACATGTGATAGAGAATATGATGAGAAATAATAGATAGATTAGAATAATGAAGATGGGTGTGATAGTGCATGCTTTTCTCTCAGCACTAAGAATGAGAAGGTAAAAGGATCTCTATGAGTTCAAGGCCAACCTTTTATATATAGAGAGGTTCAAGCCAGCCAGGAAAGGAACACAACTGGCATCATTGTTTGCATCTGTACATTCAACATGATATTTACTTTAAAATATGAAAAATTTATTTTGTACAATCTTTGATTTTTTTTACCTAAACATCCATATTCAATAAAAACAAGCTTATCTGGAAAAAAAGTAATTTTTAACAATAAAGTTTCATTATCTTAATATACTTAGTGGTGTCTGATTTAAGAAAAAAAAATTCTCTCCTATTACTTTAACACATGACATCCAGCCACCATATGGCCTGAATTTTTGGAGGACAGATCAGTCAAAACATTTGAAATTAGGATGAGGTTTCAGCTTTCTGTAAAATCAAAGTAATGCAAGTAACTCTTCAACAACATTAGA